ACGAGTCACCTTAAAATGCAGCTGCTTTCGTACTAGTTTTGCAAAGCAAAAACATCCCATCAATTTACCAAGGAGTAAATGAATGTAGGTAGGAAGAGTTAGTCCTCGGGAGACATTTGCCAAGAACAAGGGGTCCCTAGAACGAAAAATTTGAGGACCATTCTTCAGAAAACCAACTGACTGTATTAGGTGAACTTTGGGTCCATTTCAGTCATCTCAGGAGACTTGGTACATACCTCCATGAATGGAACAGACCTTCCGACACACGTGGAGCAGTGATGAACAGTGATAAACAGCTACAGGCTGGGGTACTGGCAGGAAGCTGGGTTAATGGCAGGATGTGGCTCTTCTATGGAGACCCAGAGAGGGTCGCTCTTGGGACAGGGTCCCACATGTTAGCCTGCTCTTTGCTGGGTGGGGAGACCTACAGAGGCCTGCTGAGATATGTCTCAAAACAGTTCTGAAGTGAAATGCAGGGTAGATAGAATCACTGTCAGCAAGATGGGAATAATACTGTTTTTGTTTAACTAAAAGTCATGGTTCTCAACTAGGCAATTTTGCCCCCTAAATAAGGTTGCCAGATTTAGCAAATAAAAGTACAGGATACCAATTAAATTTGAATTTAAGGTAAACAATTGGGCTTCCCTGGTGGCCAGTGGTTGATCATCAAATAGGTAATATAAAGAAATAGAAATTATAAAAAAGAACCAAATGGAAATTCTGTAGTTGAAAATTACAATAACTGAAAAGTACAATAACTGTTAAAAGCATATTTGAGCTGGAAAAGGAAGAACCTGGATACCAATTAAATTTGAATTTAAGATAAACAATTAATAGATTTTTAGTATAAGGATATACCATGCAATATTTTGAAATTATTCATTGTTTATCAGATATTCTAATTTAATGGGTATCCTGTATTTTATCTGGCAACCTACCACCAGGAGACACTTGGCAATGTCTGAAGACATTTTTGCTTGTCACAACTGGGAGTGTGGGAGGAGAAGTGCTACTGGTATCTAGTGAGTACAGGCCAGGGATGCTGGTAAATACCCTGCAAGGCACAGGACAGTCCCCACAACAGAGAATTATCCAACCGAGGTTGAAAAACCCACTGGACTCCCCAGGAAGGAAAGAAAAACAAGTAACTCCATGATGGATTCCCCACCCCCACCCTTTTCCCCTCTGTCCGTCTTCCTATGAATAAATGCACAGTTGTTCTTGTTTTTGTTTTTTGTTTTTTTTGTTTTTTTTTTGTGGTACGCGGGCCTCTCACTGCTGTGGCCTCTCCCGTTGCGGGGCACAGGCTCCGGACGCGCAGGCTCAGCGGCCATGGCTCACGGGCCCAGCCGCTCCGCGGCACGTGGGATCCTCCCGGACCGGGGCACGAACCCGTGTGCCCTGCATCGGCAGGCGGACTCTCAACCACTGCGCCACCGGGGAAGCCCTGTTCTTGTTTTTTAAGTAAACTTTTAATAAAAGCATTATATATGTTCCAAAAAGTGCCCAAATGATAAGTGCACAGCTGGACAAATTTTCACAAAGTGCACACAGCTGTGTAGCCAGCCCCTCAGATGAAGAATCAGGCCACCATCAGTGTTTCAGAAGTTCTGGTGCCCTTTGCAATCACTATCCCCCACCCACTCAAGGGAACCCACTGTTCTGACTTCTACCACCACAGATTAATTCTACCTTGGTTTTGAACTTTGTATTCGTGGAATCATACCACACATACTCTTTTGTATCTGACCTCTTTTGTTCAATGTTATGTCTGTATGCATATATTTAATGGTTGCAACATAATGTATATGTATGTATATGTGGATGTGTACATAATATCATATTCTATATTCCACACTTTTCTATCATTGAAAATAGATAGAATGTTCCATGTACCATAGTCTTCATAATTATTACCATAATTATTACCATAGTCTTCATAATTATTATTTTAATTACAGTATATTTCATGGATAAGTGTGCCATACCTTATTAAACCCTTCCCATATTTAGAATATCAATAATGTAATAAACATTTTCATTCATATAGATTTTTCTGTATTTGGGATTATTCCCTATGACCAATTCCCCAGAATCAAATAGATCGGTTTAAAGTATGAAACTTTTTTATGATTCTTGATGTTTTCAATATCAGTTCTGGCAAGGCTGTTGATCTTGAACCTAATATTAGAATTTGACTTTGGGACTGGGAACTGATATTGAAATTAGAATCTGAGATATTAAGCTACAAGGACATTCATCATAGCCTTGTTTTTAATAGTGTAAAATCGAATGCAACATAAATATCCTCAATAAAGAATTGGTAAACAAATTATGGCACAGGCAAACAGTGGAGTACTATACAGCCTTCAAGAGTCATGAAGAAAAATATGTACTTACGTAGCAAAAGGATCAGGGTATTTTGTTGTAAAATGGTATATGGAATATGGTTCCATTTTTATCAAGTGCATAGTTTTCCATATTTATGAATATTTTCTTAAGATGGATTTTCAGACATAGGATTAATAAATTATTCTAAAAGATGATAGATAAATAGGCATATATGCAAAAACATGATCACATTGGTGAATGTATACGTATGTAGACTATCAGTGGTTCTTGGTCTTCGTCTTCCCCTCCTCTTTGGCTTGTATGTATATTTTCAAAATTATCTACACAGGGCACAGGGCTATTGTTGTTGCCCATGTGTGTCCTGCAGGAAAAAAAAATTATCTACAAAAGCCACATATTACTTTTATATCATCTGAAAGAAGGAAGGATGTTTTATTTCACAAAAGTAGTTCAAAGCTATCTTGGGGATGATAAGAGCAGGACTTAGCCTAAGGCAGGATTTTGGCAGGGCAGGTGCTGAGGATATGGCCCTCCAAGTCCCATTGGAGGTCGAAGTACACTGCCACTCTAGATGTGACTGTGTCCTGGGGTCAGCAGTGAGTGTGCCAGGATTTCACATTCTCCCCTCTCCTTGACCCAGTGAGGATGCCAGGTGTTGTGTCTTCCTCCCAGCCTCCGAATCCTTCCTTGCATTTCAGTTTGCACATAAGCCATCTCCACTCCTCTCTTCCTCGTAGGTTCTGGAGCCATCGTTGCTGCCATTGTGGTGGTTGTCATCATCATCTTCACCGTGGTTCTGATCTTGCTGAAGATGTACAACAGGTATGGGATATGCCCTGGGCTTTGGAACGGTCTGGTCCCTTCAGTGATGCCAGAATGAATGGGAACTAATGTTTGTGGGTGCCTATTATGTGCACAGCACTATCTATGAGTCCATCATCAAATGCTCTAACCCTTTGTGGGTCCTTTTTTGCTGTCTGTTCTACTGGAAGAACTTCACAGTGACCATATATTTTTGTATTTGGAGAAATATTTTTAAAATATAATAATATAATGACAATGATAATGACCTTTAGCTGTGTAGTAAACTCTTATGTGTAATTTACAGATAAGAGAGGAGTGTTTCAATACTCTTTTCCTGGAGAGCCCTCTGCTAGGTTGTGTTGTGTGGACCACATGAGTATTTGAGGTGACAAATACTGAAATGTACATACCTGCCACTTTAATTTCTGCGACCAAATAAGAGGAAATAAAATCACATAAACTGATTGCAAGAAGAGTAACTGCTGTGTTAGCACCTTATGTGTTATCACCTGTAGTCACAGCTTTGCTAGAAGGTTATTCTTTTCAGTGAATAAATCAAAATTAAAAGACTAAATTCAATTACATCATAGAAGACCTGGAAGCCATTAAAAAATATTGTAGAAATGTATAAATTGATGAGGAAAGTTGTTTACAACATATTGTAAAAATTTACAAAGCAGTATGTACGTCATTTTTTTAAAATTAATTTATTTTTTGGCTACTTCAGGTCTTAGTTGTGGCAGATGGGATCTTTCGTTGCGGTGAGTGGCTCTTTGTTGCGGTGTGCGGCTTCTCTCTAGTTGTGGCGCACAGGCTCAGGGGTGCGTGGGCTCAGTAGTTGTGGTGCGTGGGCTTAAGTACCCTGCAGCATATGGGATCTTAGTTGCCCTACCAGGGATCGAACCTGCGTGCCCTGCATTGGAAGGTGGATTCGTAACCACTGGACCACCAGGGAAGTCCCTAAAGCAGTATGTACATTATGATCATACACATGGGTTACGCACATGCACCCAGGAAAAGTTCAAATGATATACCACAAGGTGTTAACAACCAGTATGTCTGCATGATGGGATTGCTAGTAGGTTAGTTGGTTGGTTGGTTTTTGCAAGGTCAAGGGGTGGGCTTCTTTATTTCTGCATTGTTTTATAATAATATTAAGCTATTTATAAGGGTAGCTAACATATATTGATCTCTTACTATGTGCTGGGCATGGTTCTAAGCTCTTTACATGTATTAACTCATTAGGTCTTCATAACAGCACCACAAAGTGGATGCTTCTATATCCCCAATTTTATAGGTGTGAAACAGGCACAGGAAGATTAAGTAACATGCCTGGATTTACTCAGCCCTAATTGGCAGAGTTGGGATTCAAACCCAGTTCATCTCGTTTCAGAGAAAATACTCCCACCAGTACACATATAATAACAATAATAACATTTCATGTGTTATTTTTTTAAATCTTTGGGCTGTTACAGTTTGGGTCTATTTCAAACCAGGAAGTGACATCAGACCCTAAGATCTACCCGCCATTCCTCTCCATCATTGCTGGAGCTCTAAACCCCTTTTCTAGGTTGAAATTTGGAGGGAGACTCATCCCATCCTGTTTACAATGATACGTGGGCTGGGAATTGAGAAACCTGGGTTCAGTCTTTGGTCTGTCAAAAGCAGGCAAGTTGTTTAGCCTCTCTGTGCTTTGATTTTATCACCTTTAATATGGAAGTGTCTCTAAATAGACATTTCTCCAAAGAAGACACACAGGTGGTCGATAGACCCATGAAAAGATGCTCAACATTGCTAAATATTAGAGAAATGCAAATCAAAACTACAATGAGGTATCACCTCACACTGGTCAGAATGGCCATAATTAAAAAGTCTACTGGACTTCCTTGGTGGTCCAGTGGTTAAGAATCCACCTGCCAATGCAAGGGACACGGGTTCGATCCCTGGTCCGGGAAGATCCAACAAGCCGTGGGGCAACTAAGCCCACGCGCCACAACTACTGAGCCTGGGCTCTAGAGACCGAGAGCTGCAACTACTGAAGCCCGTGCACTCTGCTCCCACATGCTGCAACTACTGAGCCCGTGTGCTGCAACTACTGAAGCCTGCACGCTTAGAGCCCATGCTCTACAATAAGAGAAGCCACCGCAATGAGAAGCCTGCGCACCTCAATGAAGAATAGCCCCCACTCGCCGCAACTAGAGAAAGCCCACATGCAGCAGCAAAGACCCAACGCAGCCAAAAAAAAAAAAAAATCCGTTAAAAAAAAAAGTTAGGGCTTCCCTGGTGGCACAGTGGTTGAGAGTCCACCTGCCAATGCAGGGGACATGGGTTCATGCCCTGGTCCTGGAAGATCCCGCATGCCGTGGAGCGGCTGGGCCTGTGAGCCATGGCCATTGAGCCTGTGCGTCTGGAGCCTATGCTCCGCAACGGGAGAGGCCACAACAGTGAGAGGCCCGCGTACCGCAAAAAAAAAAAAAAGTTAAAAAAAAAAAGTCTACAAATAATAAATGCCGGAGAGAGTGTGGAGAAAAGGGAACCCTCCTCCACTGTTGGTGGTAATGTAAACTGGTACAGCCACGATGGAAAACAGTATGGAGGTTCCTTAAAAAACTTAAAATAGAGTTACCATGTGATCTAGCAATTCCACTCCTGGGCATATATGGAGAAAACTATAATTCAGAAAGATACTTGCACCCCAATGTTCATAGCAACACTATTTACAATAGCTGAGACATGGAGGCAACCTAAATGTCCATTGACAGATGAACGGATAAAGAAGATGTGGTATGTATACACAATGGAATACTACTCAGCCATAAAAAAGAATGAAGTAATGCCATTTGCAGCAACATGGATGGACCTAGAGATCATCGTACTAAGTGAAGTAAGTCAGACAGAGAAAGACAAATATCATGATATTACTTATATATGGAATCTAAAATATGATACAAATGAACTTATTTACAAAACAGACTCACAGACATAGAAAACAAATTTATGGTTACCAAAGGGAAAAGGCAGGGGTTGGGGGAGAGGGATAAATTAGGAGTTTGGGATTAGCAGATACAAACAAAATAGATAAACAACATGGTCCTACTGTACAGCACAGGGAAATATATTCAATATCTTATAATAACGTATAATGGAAAAGAATATGAAAAAAAATATATATGTAACTGAATCACTTTGCTGTACACGAGAAATTAACACAACATTGTAAATCAACTATACTTCAATAAAAGAAAAGAATAGGGGGACTTCCCTGGTGGTGCAGCGGTTAAGAATCCGCCTGCCAGTGCAGGGGACACGGGTTCAAGCCCTGGTCCAGGAAGATCCCACATGCTGCGGGGCAACTAAGCCCATGCGCCACAACTACTGAAGCCTGTGCGCCTAGAGCCCGTGCTCCGCAACAAGAGAAGCCACCGCAATGAGAAGCCCATGCACCACAATGAAGAGTAGCCCCCACTCGCCGCAACTAGAGAAAGCCCGCGCGCCACAACGAAGACCCAACGCAGCCAAAAAGAAAAGAAAGGAATAGGCAGAAATTTCAATTCAACAACAACAAAAATGGAAGATTCTTAAAGTGTGATAACTGTGTTATGGTTACATTGAAGAATGCCCTTGTTCTTAGGAGTATTTAGGGTTGAAGTGGCATGATGTCTGCAACTAACTCACAAATGGTTCATGATTTTTTAAAAAACTGTGTGTGTGTGTCTGTGTGTGTAAATGGGGCAAGTAAAAGAAAGAAAGCAAACGTGACAAATTGTTAACAATTTGTCAATTGTTTAGTGAAGGGTATTCAGGTATTAGTTGTACTATCTGTGTAACTTTTCTGAGGATTTGAAATTTTGAAAAAAGAAGCATGATAGGTCAACAAGATGAAATTTCATGTAGACATTAGAATGAATGATTGTTGTTAGTTATTGAATTTTATGGCATATGAAATGAAAGCCAGGATATATGTTTTAAGTCCATTCTCTTCTCAACTATGTAAAAAGTTCTTCAATATTTCTAGCAATAAACTTAGCAAGCATAATGAGGCTACAAAATTTCACTCACATTACAACTTTGAACAGAAGAAAAAAATGTAATATCTTCATTTTGTCTTCAAAATAGCCACCTATCTGCTACTTTACTCATTCATTAATAGGAAAAAAATAAAATTAAGTATCCAACCTAGGTTAAACAAAAAAACTGAAGGGTCAGACTACCTGATGTCTAAGATCCCTTCCAGTTGTAAACTTCTGTGATTGGCAATTAAGCAACATGATTTAATGATGATCTATATTCATTTCATCACTGGAGCTGTAGTCACAGAGCTCGTTCCCCAAGGCATATGAGGGGGAAGGCTCAGCCATGCGTGTGTATCTCATTACAGGAAAATGAGGACAAGACGGGAGCTGGAGCCCAAGGTCCCCAAGCCAGCCTCCCCTTCTGCCCTGGGCCCAAACAGCAACAGCAGCCAACACCCTGCAACTGTGACCTTCAGCCCTGTTGACGTCCACTTGGAGACTCGGTGACCCCCCATCCTGGGTGCTGTCTCGGCCACTGTCCAAAGAGCCTTCAGTCAAGACCAAGAAGCACATTTCTCCTCTGGCAGCTTCACTATGAGTCAACAGGGGCATCTCTTATGCAATCCCTGATGCTTCAGGCAACCCCCAACCCCATCCTGCCGGGCCCCACCCCAGGTACGTCCATATCCCTGCTGCCACCCTTCCAAAAAGCTGTGCTCTTTTGGGAATCCACTGCTGTGGGTTTAGCTGTCTCCCCCCAAACACAATAGCTAGACAGACAGACAGACAGGCAGATAGCCCAGGAGTCTTCTGGTCAGGAGTCAGGGGTCAGGGCATATGCTCCTTAGAGGGTCTACCCTGAGGTCATATCAGAGGAAGGACCATATCCACAGCTTTGTAGAGCAAAATAGTCAATCCCATAATCAGGCACAGGGGAACTAACTTGGACTAACTCACCAAAAACCCAGCTTGTTAATTTATAACTTGTTCCAGTGCTAAATGACCGCTAGCTAGCTCATGATGACTGATCAGCACATTTCTCCCTCTTTAAGAAAGGTTTTGGGAAAAACTGAATTCTTCTTCAAAGGTGTCTCTACTTCTTTAGTAAAGAGTCAAAGTCGAAGACATAGGATGACCTTGAGGAAAAATGGCATCTAGGATGAAAGCTTGTTGTAGTGTCCATGGGCCTGGAATAAGCCTGGTGTCTGGTCAGGGCCCCTCCCCCCACACCCCCCCCCCCCCGCCCCGAATTTTAACCAAAGGACTGCAGCCTGCAGAAGCATAACCCCCGGAGGGGCGCATTCTATGGCCTGTGGCAGGGGGAATACCTCCCCCCCCCCCCCCCCCCCACGGGGGCTGGATTAACCTTGACTCAGTCTCATTTCTTGGCTTCCCTCTATTTGGATTCTGAGCAATCCTCACTCTCCAATTACCATCTTACCTCCAAGGTCCAGTATTCGGAGACTGATTAGATTACAACTCTATTTATGTTACCTCTGCCCTTCCTGGTCACCTTGCAAAGATTCAGGATGTATTCAAAGTACCACATTCACAAACCATTCCTCTGGAAAGAACTCATCTCTTTGACACTTTAGCCTGGAGAACAATCTACTGAAAGAGGAAAGCATTTTGGAATTAAGAAGACCTGCCTTCCAAGCCCTATTTCCTGGTCTTGTGGCCTTGGGAAAGTGACTTGACCCCTCCGTATTCTGTTTCCTAACATGAAATGGGAATAACGTCTGCCTCACTGGGTGACTATAACAAGCCAAGGACTTAGTAAAACAGCTTAGGTAGTGCCTGGCACCCAGCGGATGCTTTATAAATGGGAGCCAGCCTTATTATTATGAATTTCTTCCATTGTAAGACATATACTTGTTCCCATTTTAATGATTCTGAAATCAGAATATGTCTTAAAGTTGATGGGTCCACTAATGAGGTTGCATTTTTTTTCTCTCTCTCTCTCAAAAAGCTGTTTTTTAGCCAGTTGTGCATTTTACAGTGAAGGCATCTTGGAGACAAGGTAATAAATCTGTATTCTGTTACAGACAGTGACACACTCTGACATTTAACCTTAAATTCTAGGAGTCTCTCCTGAGGGAAATCCCTTTTGAGGGAAAACTGAGGGTCAGGAGGTAAGAAGACTGACACAAGGTCACACAGTTCATGTCACCCCACTATAAAAATGCTCACTTGAATATATCTGGAGAAATACAGGCAAATTCTTTCTCCCCAGACATCTCTTCTCCCTCCTGTGTTTAAATATCCACCAGACACTTTGCAAGGTGCTTTTACATAAGTTATGTCATGGGATTTATTTTTCCCAGTAACGCTGGGAGGTATTATTTTTCCCATTTGCCAATGAGAATTTCAAACTCAAGAAGAAAAAATACTTGCTCAAAGTCTCACAGCTTGTGAGACAGTAAGTTGCAAAGACAAGACTCAAACCGTGGTCTCTTTGACTCCAAAGTCCATCTTTTTGTTGTATCACGCTCTTCCCTAACATCCCGGCTCAAAGAACATGGATTCTTTTGTGAGCTGAACAAGAGGAGGACAGGCTTACCCATGTGTCTGAGTGGAGGTCGGGGGTCAGCTTCCACACCAAAAGTGGGGCAAAGCCACTTTGGTAGCCTCCTCTGGGCTTCCATGATTGTAGCCAAAGGGGCCGTTTCCAAATCCATCCAAGCTCTAAGGATTTCTGCTTCATTCCGCCACCACTTAGGCCCAAGGAGTAAGGCATGAGATGGCCTCGAACCAGGGCAAAGCCATTTAAGGACTCAAGCCCACACAGATATGTTTCCCAGATGTATTCTGCTTTAAAAAAAAAAAAAAAAAGATTAGGGCTTCCCTGGTGGCGCAGTGGTTGAGAGTCCGCCTGCCGATGCAGGGGACGCGGGTTCGTGCCCCGGTCCGGGAAGATCCCACATGCCGCGGAGCGGCTGGGCCCGTGAGCCATGGCCCCTGAGCCTGCGCGTCCAGAGCCTGTGCTCCGCAACGGGAGAGGCCACAACAGTGAGAGGCCCGCGTACCGAAAAAAAAAAAAAAAAAAAAAAAAAATTGTTTGGAGTGTTCTAGCCCTAAAGCCAAACTCTTCTGTCCACAGTGGAATCTTCTTGGAAGAAAGAAGAACATATCCCTCTAGTATAAATGAAAGCTTGGAAATGGAAGGGGGAGGTAGAGAGGTGAGGGGGAGGCAAAGAAAAGCGTTGTGTTTTGTTTTTAACTGATGATGATTACCTCAGTAAACATCCTTTAAGGGTTCCTGTATGCCAGTTGAGGTGCTACTAAACACGGTAAGCATGGTCCCTGCTCTCAGGGAGTCTGCAGCTGGCCTCCTGAGACAGGGATCTTGCAGCACAGTTGAATTTCATTTCTGACAGGTGCCTTTCCTAACAGAGCAGATGCTGCCTTATTTGGCCACTGAATCAATAAATGATATTAAACGCTTAAAGAAAAATGTCTAAAAATAAAAAAGTTTAAATCAAACATTTGTTGAGTTGATTTCAATTCAGTTTAGAGATAACAAATACATTTTTTAGAAACTTCCTTCCCCTGACAATGTAGACAGTGCCCCGAGAGAAAGCCGGAGCTGTTTCAAACATTGCGTTCTCACTTCTATAGGATGGTGGGAAAGATGGGCTGCTCTGTGAGGTAGAAAATGTGTTAACTTGATGAAATATTATGCAGAGAATCCCATTTCACAGCAGGCTGAGAAGCCAAAGTTTGGGGACCCCGGGGAGTGGAGAAGACATTAGAATGGAGCCCAAATCACCAATAATGATGTTTACCATTAACTAAGCTCCTGCTGTGAGCCAGGCATAGGATAGGTCCTTCCTACCCACCAGCTCCTTTAACCATTACAGCTCCCCTGCATAGAGTGAGGAAACAGGTGCAGGGAGGTAGCTTGTCTGTGGGTGATGTCATGGACATGTGTCCTTCTTTTGGTGATGTTGAGCTCATTTGACTGGTCTAATTATTAAATATACATAAGACAGGGCTTCCCTGGTGGCGCAGTGGTTGAGAGCCCGCCTGCCGATGCAGGGATCACGGGTTCGTGCCCCGGTCCGGGAAGATCCCACATGCCGTGGAGTGGCTGGACTCGTGAGCCATGGCCGCTGAGCCTGCGCATCCGGAGCCTGTGCTCCGCAACGGGAGAGGCCACAACAGTGAGAGGCCCGCGTACCGCAAAAAAAAAAATTATATATATATATATATATACATAAGACAGATTAACAGGAGAAAAAAATAAATTTATGTGCATTGAGGTCTCATAGAAATGGGACCCCTGAAGTGACCAAAGCAGGCTGTTTATGCAATATCATTTTTAGACAAAGAAGCAATTATTTGTGAAGATTCAATGGAACGAAGGGGCTCGTGCTTGGTGTAGCAGATGAATGAAGAAGGAGCAATATTTCTTTATACAGATTTCTTAGCCTTGAATTCCCTAACTCTGGTGATAAGGATGCTTTCTATCCTCCTGGTATAAGGAGGATACCTTCACATGGGAGATTTATTTCCCACTATCAGGGAGAAACAGGGGGGTCAGAGAGGTTTTCTTTAATATCATTTTTTTTTCTACTAGCTGTTTCTCAAGTAACTTTAATTCAAAATAATCAGTATGCCATCATGGCGTATCTTGGGCAGGCTACTCTGAGCCCCAGCAGTGACCATTCCTGTGTTTGGGAAGTCCTCTACTTTAAGAGACAGGACCACCTCCTGCTATAAAAACTGGAAAGGCCAGACACTCATTTTCTCGGAGCCTCTTGCAGCTAGGGGGAGGTCACATGACCTAGGCTTTGCCAATCAGACACCTGTGCCGCAGACTCTGAATCCAGAAGTTGGCAACCTCAAAGGGATAGGAACTGCAGGATCTGCTCTGGTGGCAGGTGTGTTGGCACCCTCCACTTCAAGAGGCAGCCACATCAGGGATTCTAGCCGCAGTGGCAGGGGCATTCTTGAGTCCAGACCCAGTGCCCATTGGAGTTGACTACGTGAGCTGTGCCCGACAACATCAGCCATGGTATCTGTACCCAACTAGTTCTGTAGTAGGATTTTAAGCATCACACCTGGCATCATATCTCTGAGCCTGGTTCTAGCCTTCCAGGAATTCTAGCAACTACCTGATTCCCTTTTCTGTTGAAATCAAGGGTCACTTCCTGTTGCTTGTCGCTAAGTACTATATGGCTGTGGGGGACTTGCTCGCGGCCACCCACGTGGGAAGTGGCTGGCACTAGAACCCAGGTCCCCAAAGCTCTTGCTTTTTCCATGCACATGCTTACAGGCAAGTGATCAAAGGATCCCAAAGTGCTGTGAAATCATAGAGGAAGTAAAGTCGCCACCAATTACTCTTATCCCAGAGACTTTGTGAATGTTAATGAGGGAGTATTTAAAAAGAACCTGGAAGAATGGGTAGGATTTTTTTTTTTTTTTTTTTTTTTTTTTTTGCGGTACACGGGCCTCTCACTATTGTGGCCTCTCCCGTTGCGGAGCACAGGCTCTGGATGCGCAGGCTCAGCGGCCATGGCTCACGGGC